GATGTTTAATAATCGTAGTGGTAGTTACGCCACAATACTCCCTCATCAGAATTTCATCAGGGATGGAATTCGATGAACGGATACCACTAGTTGCTGCATTTGTGAAAGACCGGGAGAGCTGATTAAAGGTCACCGGGTATTATGCTTCAGCCATGAGAGCTGCATTATCCAATGTCATGATTGTGCGTGAGAACTCTCTGTGTTGCCATTAGCAGTCGAGTGTGTGCAGGATTCCGTTGAGTGTAAATGAGACTGAGAAGCAACAGCGTGAGGAGGACGATAACGCAGTCACAAATAGCAAGTCAACTGTTCCACTTGGACTATCCATCGAAGTAGTCGTGATCATATCACATCCACAAGTCACCAATGGGGGGAACAGACTATGACTATGCCAAAGGTATGACAATCAAAAGGTATCTCAAGATTGATTCAAGTTATCAAGTGTTATGTACTTGTGAATTGATGTTTAATAATCGTAGTGGTAGTTACGCCACAATACTCCCTCACCAGAATTTTATCAACCTTTATCTATCAAAAGGTACCTCAAGATTGAATCAAGTTAGCATGTCTTATATACTAGTGAATTGATGTTTAATAATCGTAGTGGTAGTTACGCCACAATACTCCCTCACCAGAATTTTATCAACCTTTATCTATCAAAAGGTACCTCAAGATTGAATCAAGTTAGCATGTCTTATATACTAGTGAATTGATGTTTAATAATCGTAGTGGTAGTTACGCCACAATACTCCCTCACCAGAATTTTATCAACCTTTATCTATCAAAAGGTACCTCAAGATTGAATCAAGTTAGCATGTCTTATATACTAGTGAATTGATGTTTAATAATTGTAGTGGTAGCTACAGCACAATACTCCCCCACCAGAATTTCATCAGGGATAGAATTCGATGAACGGATACCACTAGTTGCTGTAATTGAGAAATACCGGGAATGCTGGATTAAGGTCACCGGGTTTTGTGCTTTAGTCATAAGAGCTGTATTAAGTTCATGGTTGCGTGTGTGGTCACTCCTGTGTTGCTATTAGCAGTCGAGTGGGCAGGATCCTGTTGAGTATAAATGAGACTGAGAAGCAGCAGCGCTAGGAGGACGAAGACGCAGTCACAAATATCTAGTCAACTGTTCAATGTGGACCATCCATCGAAGTAGGCGTGATCATATCACATCCGCAGGTCACCAATGTGGGGAAAGACCATTAGACAATGCAAACCTTCATCTATCAATAGGTACCTCAAGATTGAATCAAGTTAGCATGTCTTATATACTAGTGAATTGATGTTTTATAATCTTAGTGGTAGTTACGCCACATATTTAATTGCAGTCATAATTTTATATGAATTTTTAAATGAAATTAGGCTTACCGGGAAAACTCGCCCTATTCTGTGCGTAAGTCACTTATTTTTGCTTTCGCCGGTCCTGAAGAGGTTAAATAAAAACGTATTTTATTGTTCCATAATGATTGCTCTACATATCCTAGACAGCAGGGTAAGGTTAATTTTAAAGTCAGCAAGAACCTTTATCACAAAGCACTACAAAGTTTATAAATGATTTGCTAATAAACCACGCAAGCTTGAAACAATGTTTAATTTTACTATGCTAGTTTACACGCTGTGATGCCAAAATAGCTTTTTTAATCATCCTTAATCGAATTTTATTTAAACTAAACCAATTTTTCAATTTTTTATTACATTTTATAAAAAACTGATATAAATATTTTATTCTTTTTTTTTTAACAATCAATGCAACGGCTAACTTTTTACTACAATACAAATGTAAAACTCATTTATATTAGGCTACCTATTTTTAACGACTAAATCGAAAACAAAATCTATTGCTAACTCTTTATTCTTTATTTCTTACAGCAAAAATATTTCAGTTACACGGTTATAGTAATTCTCAGCCTTTTGGGGGATTTGCTTTCACCGAATTATTTTTGAATTTAATATTGATTATGGGAGGTTAGCTTTATTTTTGTCTATGTTATCTTTTGATCGCCAGCCATGGATCTCTTCCCATGCTCCTAACTGTCCGTTGGGAACAATTCACTTACTTTTAATTTCGAATTATTGGCTATGAGACTGGGTGCTTTGGCCTCTCAGTCCCAACCGTTGAAATGATAACTTTATAGAAATTCTGGATGAGAAGAGAACAAAAATGATTCTCTGGATCCCTTTAACAGACTTTCATTCCTTTATTTTACAATTTTAAAATATGACCGTGTTCATTATAATGAGATACACATAATAAATCAATTTTTCCTGACCGATTCTTTCCCTCCTTCAAATATAAATTTGAATGCTTCTCACACGGCCAGCAATTATACTTAAATTCTACAAAGAAACTACATACAGTCATGAATTTGGACTGAACTGCCATGAAACACGCTATGAGGTTTGCATAAACAACCTTTTTATATCGATATAGAATCTGCCTTTAACAAAATAAGCCTAGAGAAACCTACCGAAATGGAGGATGAATTAGCATTTGCAAAAGTATAAAGCATTTTTAAACTGAGGATAAATTCACCTTCTCAAGGTTTATTTTAGAATTCATGCAATGGCTTTAATATACTTTCTTGATCACTTTCGAAGTAAAACTTATCAGAAAGTTTTCAATACAAACAAAATGTTGTATTTGAGGGCCTGGATAAAGCTGGAATGAAAAAAAGGCAAAGACAAAGTTTACAGTTCCTATAAATAAAAGCTAAAAAAAAAATATTTTTTGTAAAGGTTTTTGGATGCCTTTATTCTATAAGTTTTAAAAGGGGTAACTTTCTGAGGCAACCAAATAAAAATGAAAATAAAATATTTGCTGTAAGTTGCCTACTATATGATATAATACAGGATGTTTATAAAGTCCCAGACCCATTTTGACGTTTAATAACTCACAAAATAATAAAAATAGATTAAAATTAATAACATAAATGATTAGATAGACTCAAAAAGTTTCATGACCGTTGTCAATGAACTGGTTGGAGCAGTTTGGTGCAATTGGTAACTGGCGTGAGGAAAAAAATTAACTTAGAATTTAATGTGTTTTAATTTTACTATATAACTGCTTAAACAATTTTCGAATCCTTATGTTTACCTTTTAAATTTGCAATTTTATAGGAATACGGTGCATTGTTTTACGAAACCAGTGCAAAAACAGGAGATAGCATTCCTGAAGCTATTGAAGGTTTAGCATGGTAAGTAACTATTAATTTATTTTTTTTGAAATAATAACTTTTCTTTCAATATACATTACATTTCGTTATATTGTATGCCATTTTTGCTCACACGATTTATAAAAATGAGCATGAAGCAATTTCACCAAATACTGAATCTATCACAACACATAATTTTATCATTTTTGGAAAAATTTCTTATAAATATCTATAATGTATTTAAAATCGAGTGCATAAAAATGCATTAGAGCAACGTTGTCAATGAAAATAACAAGTGTCATGGTGACTCAGGGAATAGAGCATTCGCATGCCAATTCGGTAAATCGGGTTCGAATCCCAGGGATGATTGGACGATACGCTCGCACCGACCGCAGTGCTGACGTTAAATATCCTCAGTGGTAGACGGATCATGGGTTAGAGTCCTTTTGCCGTCACGTGGAAGATTTTCATGGTTTTCCTCTTCATTTAACGCAATTGCGGATTAGTTCCATCAAAAATTCCTTCATGAAATCAAATTTCTCTTAATGTTTGATCCAAGAGTTCCTTTGCCTTATGGACTAGGTTCAAAACTACAAGGCTAAGGAGTTGAGCATGAACGGAGTTGAATTGGGTGGTAGTTCAACAACTGTTATGAAATAAAGATAAAATGAAAATAATATTATAAAATTTATTATAATGTAAATGCAACAAAAAACTTATACTTTTTTAGCACAGCTGTCAAAGGTTATGGTATTAATGTATGAAGACAAATAATGATCAGTCCCTAACAAACAGTGAGATGAAGATTAGGTGGCAATGTATAAGTGGACAGATCATGCAACTTAAATTGTGAAGAATTTATGAAAATGCAAATCATAATTTTTATTTATAATCTTACTTATATCTAATCTTGTGTTTTCTGGAACTATCAAAAATAGAAAAATTATGATTGATTGTATTAAATTTTTCCAAGGCTTATAAAGAGAGCGATGTATTCAAATATTCGATATGCGATGGGTAAAAATAGTATCTCTAATAGATAAAGAGTTGTATTATCAATTTTAGATACCATGATTAGTTTTTATATTACATCATTAAAAAAGAATGAATGAAAAAAAATTAAAAAAAATACTAGATTACAATGGTTGGTACTAATATCATTGGTGCAAAAGTACCTGTGAGCTGATTGTAAGGGCAATAGAAAAGCCCATAAATTTAAACATGCAGTGGAAACTATATTAGTGTTATACAAGCAGTGGAACATATATTTGTGCTATTCATACATGAAGTTGGAAGTATATTGGTGTTATACATACAGTGAAAACTATATCATTGTTAGACACGCAACGAAAACTATATTAGTGTTATACATACAGTGCAAAACGTATCTGTGTTATACATGCAGTGGAAACTATAATATATAGTATTGTAAATGAAGTGGAAATTGTGTTATACATGAAGTGGAAGCTATATTAGTATTACACATGATATATTTTTTAAATTTTCTTTATATCCCTTGTTGAACAGCTAACCCAATTTTATGGGTTTACGACTACTAATGTTCAACTCTGTAGCCTTGTAATTTTGATNATCTGTGTTATACATGCAGTGGAAACTATAATATATAGTATTGTAAATGAAGTGGAAATTGTATTACTTTTTTTGTGTTATACATGAAGTGGAAGCTATATTAGTATTACACATGATATATTTTTTAAATTTTCTTTATATCCTTTGTTGAACAGCTAACCCAATTTTATGGGTTTACGACTACTAATGTTCAACTCTGTAGCCTTGTAATTTTGAACCCAATCCAGAAGACAAGGGAACTCCTGGATCGAGTATTGGGAGAAATTTGCCTTCGTGGAGGGCTTTTTAATGGAGCTGACCCGCATTTGCGTTGCATGTATGGAAAACCACGAAAACCATCTTCGGTTAGTCTGACGGCAAGGGGACTGTAACCCATGATCCGTCTACCACTGAGGATATTTTACGTCAGCACTGTGGTCAGTGCAAGCCGAGTGCAAGATTCATATCGACCAGCCATGACTGGGATTCGAACCCAGTTCTCCTCATTGGAAGGCGAACGCTCTATCCCCTAAGCCACCGCGGCTCTACACATGATATTAAAAATTTATCTTCTGACAGAAAATGAAAAACACTGATTTGTGAAAACGCCATTTTAAATTTAAGTAAGTTTTTTCCTACTTCTCAATGGCATTCCTCCTCAATATTAATTACAAAATGTATGTTTTTTTGTGGACTGCCAGGTTAATTTTAATTTCTTTAATTGTTTTTTAATATTTATTTTGAAACAAAGCAGAGTTTTAGCGTGTGGGATAACAATTGTCAGTGACTTATTGTCTGACTGGACAAACAACAAATTTTTAGCGCTAAGTCGTAACAAAATTTGGTATAGGACACAGAAAAAGCGTAAGGAATTTATGTAAATTGTAGAACGCTATTATGATGGATGCAATTTATAACATGAATTTTCTAATATACAAGAAAACTAAATTATTCTATGATTATTTTTATTATTTTTTCAGCATTTTAAAAACAAAGGAAGACGAAACAATAGAGCAAGTCCTTAAACTCCAAGAAGAAGAAGAAAAGAAGAGGAAAAAGAAATGTTGCTGACTCTCATATCAGTTGTTCTGGTATCTCAAGTATTTCATTCTGTACATTGTTTTCTTATCGTATAGTTTATATTATTGTAAAATAAAGTATTTTATTGATTTTTTTTCATATTTTGATGCCTTATATTCCCTGACAAACTACTCAATAAGGCAGTTTTCCTCGTTTTTTTCTTTTTGTCGATTGAAAGATGCATGCTTAAACATTTCAAGAATAGATTAAAAATAAAATTCAAACTACATTAAAAACTATAATTTACATGGATGTAAAATGGTTGTAAGTTGCACGCAAGTAACCAAAAGCAGCCTACTCTATGTTAAATAAATAATCCCAAGAAATTTAAACTGTGAGATATTACTTGATTAAACACTTCATTTCTACAAAAATGTATGAATAGGAAATGACAGTCGACATGTTTCAAACGCTCAAAAACAAGCTCCTATTTTCAAAACTTTCGAGACGTGAATGACAAGAAGCAAAAGTTATTTGAACTATAAGACATAAAGTTGCCAACGAAAATGGAAAAATAAAGGTGAGAAACAAAATTAAAAAAAAAAAAAAACCGCAGTAGCCGAGATAGGGAAAAAGATTATAAACGGAACATGAAGAAGCACAGAGGTGGAGCCACGTTATGGACAGGCGGTGAGGAACTAATGCTGTTAATAAGAGAATCGGCATTCAATTCTCTTGGTTCCTCATTACCTTTCATAGCGTGTGGAAATGCATTTTGCCTTGATTTGCCCCACTCTGCCACTGTGGTTTCTCCTGTTCTGTTTTTTCACTCTCAGCTACTGTGGCTTTTCTAGTTTTGTTTTAACTGTCCTTTTCCCATTTTCATTGGCCCTTTTACGTTTTATATTTCACATCACTTTTGTTTCTTCACACTTCAGGCAAGTCTTGAAAATAGGTGCTTGGTTTTGAGTGCTTGAAACAGATTCCTATTTATATATTTTGGAAACGAATTAAGTTTTTAATCAAGTAAACCACTCTATGATTGGTTAAGTTTTTTCTCATTGTCGGTAAACCACCCACACTTATTGCACCACCACACTAGTTCTGACAGCTTAACGCATTATCTTGCTTTAACCAGTTGTTTCTGACAAACATGTACAACTATCAAGAAATGTATAGTATGCTTATTTTAAGATAGGTTGTATTATCTTAGATATTCAAACAAACATTTCGCCAAATTATATTTTATTTTATTTATTATTTTATTTTATTTCATTTTGATTTGGTTAATCTAATTGTAAATGTTACTATATTTATATATTTATATTTTGATTTATAAGTAGGCGTTTCATTTTTAAGTCTTACCTTGTGTACTTTTAAGTGGTGTTTGCTGGATCATTATTTTTTAGTGCTTTTCAATTCTGGTAATGATTTTCTTATCTGTCTATCCATTATGGGGCCTCGGGGCACTATCAGGTTTGGTTTTTCCACTGACAACAGAAAGGCTCCTATGTGTTTGTAGACAGTGTGTCCCCTGAAGAAGTGCTGTCTTGCAAACACACATATATTCTATTTTATTATTTTTTCCTGCTTTAAATGTTTGTTTGACTATCGAAATTAGAAATAAAGCAAATTTGGTTTTAGCTGCTTTAGGCGCTTTTCCATTTCAATTTAAAGTTTTAATACTTCGTTGTCTTTTCTTTTTTTGCTTTCGTAAATTGGATTCATTTTCTGATTAGGCTGTATTATCATTAACTTCTTCTGCAAAAAAAAAAAAAAAAAAAAAAAAAAAAAAANAAAAAAAAAAAAAAAAAAAAAATGCATTACAAATGATGCACAATTTGTCACTGAAAGAATGTCTTAACATAAAATCACAAATTCTCAACAAACTAAGTTTGATAATGATTTTAATCTCCTCGAAATGTTGTTTGGTAGGTGAAACTGGCGAAATCATTTCTAATCGGCATGACAATCTTAATATTCCTAATGTTTTCATTTGCCCCTTCGCCGTAATACACATCGATGATGATCCGTTAGAATAATTGAATTTCGAGATAGCATTAACGGTGAAATTCGTGAAAAAATGAATTATAGTCTCTTTAAAATTGCTCATCTCTAATTAGATGGTTTATTGATCTCACTACGTCATTACACCGCTTGGGAAAATTATTGTTAAAAGAGGTATGTAAGAACAAAATACACTCTATAACAAAAAAATCGACGCACCAAAAAGCAATCATCCGATTGCTTTGAAATTTGGTATGCATGAATGTTTTGAACAGATATAGCTGGAATGATGCTGACTGGGGACGTATGGTTTTTGTCTTTAGCGACGAATCCCGCTTCCAA